TGAACAGACAGATAATTTATTTCACGGTGATTGACAGATATTGTTGTACTAGATGGACTAATCAATGACTGACCAGTGTATTTGTTAAGATACTTTTGGTTGGAACAAATGGTGAAGTCTAAATATATAGTTAACATGAGAACCAGAGGATGACTTTTTATCAATTAGCTGTATACAAGCTGGTATTATACATGAGAAAGTAACCATAACAATAAATGCACATAGTGTAAAATGTGATGGCATGTGGATGTAAGATTAAAAAAACTGGAAAACTCAAATTATAATTTATAAATTTAGTGAAATATATCTCAGTCTTTTAGTCATGTGATATTGGCACTGATATAACATATATTGTTTGACCATGATCATAGTGGGTTTTAGCTATAAAACGTAATACCATTCGAGGTTGCATGAAGAATATATTAGAATATATTATCCAGTTCCAGGATGGTTTCAACCAAATATGTTGCCAAACAATTTTCCTAACAATTAATGGATCAAATGAAATGTTTAAAATGGACATGTAAGAGATGAATGAAATGATTATATTCCCCCTAAAAGATATTTCTTGACTATGGTCTCAATAAATTAGTGAATGTTTTAAAATTAATTTCCTGGGTTATAAAAACTAGAGGAGTATTATATAAATTGAGAATTAACGGTGTTTTAATACGACCATTTCATAGCAGAATTCATGAAACAAAACTATAGCACTGACTGGTGTGTTATTTTGCATACGATATTAACTACAAAACGTTGAAAAATGAATTCCTCCCGTACCCAGCAAAATCAGCTTGTGAATATTTTTGTTTACTAAGCATTGTATATTAAACCAACAATGTGCAATATACTACGTGAAACACCAATATAAACCAAACTATCCCGTCAAAACACTGTAATTTAAAGCAAAATATAGACAAGGACACATTCGTGTATCGGAATATGAGAGAAATCTCACCAGGAATCTATGAGGGGTGATTTCCGCCAAAATTGAACTTTACATTATGTTTGGCAATATGTTATTTTGTTATTCTGCTAAGTTTTGCATTTTAACAATATATATTTCATTATGTCATCTTATATTCTCATTATGTTAATTTGTATTTAATTATGCCGTTTCATATTTCATTATGCTTTCTCGTAATCATTATGTCATTCCATATTTCATTATGCCGCATCGTATTTCATTATGCCGTTCCATATTTCATTATGCCATTTGCTATTATGCCTTCTTCGCGCGCAAATGGACCATTGTGCATGACTCTCAGAAACTGTTTTTCAGCCTACAGGAAAATTATATTTTCCATGTGGAAAAACTCCCGCGAATTTTTTTCAACATTCATCATGGCGAACATAAGTCGTGCTATGAATTTACTTCGAGAGGCTGCGGCCGTGCTAAATAATAGGACAGAAGACAGAGATAATACATGCTTAGTCACCGAAAATTCCTTAAATACAGCGGAACACTCGAATATTAACATAAATACGCCGAGTTCATTGACATCGTCTACGCAGCGGGCAAGTGGTAGTGCACCTGTCGATACTACACCACTCTCACCAAGCATAGTCATCGATGAAACTTTTCGTAATTTTCTCGCTGGGCACTCGAGTATCAATACCACAAGCTCATCGAATTTGGTATTAGAATCAAGTACATCTACGCCAGTGACCACACTTCCAAATACCCCACGTACAGAGCTGGCACTTCGCAATTTCCGTACCCTTTTTGCCCCATACTCAACTACAAATACCACTGCAACTCGCGGAGTCTCGCACCGACCTCCTCCAAAAAGATTATGCAAAAGAAAAGAAAGCAAAGGACGGACACGGGAAACATGGACGCACGACATGTTTTGTTTGGCCAACACAGATGAGGAGGCGACACCAACACGTCAAAGGAAATTAACACTTCAACTTGCTGGACTTGGAAGAATCAAAATTAAATTTGATGCCAGCGCGAATGCCCTCGAGTTTAAAAACAAATTGGAAGAAACATTTCCCAAACTCATGTACGGAGGGGGATTTGAACTGTTAAGACGTGCACAGTCTGGAAATGGCTTAGTTTTGATTCGTCAGCCAGCTAGTGGATATTCAGTGAAATATTTGCGGGATGTTTCTGGTATTGGACAAGCATTGCTATACGTTAGGCCTCTGCAGATGGATCTGGACACATCTGCAGAAGAAACAAGTACAACAGAGCTCAATGAGGAGGTAACGGTTTTGCTTCCAGACTCTGTTACAATCGTCACTAAGTTTATATTAATTGTCTCGGAAATATATTGATAGTCAAAATGACACCTGGGGGATTTTGAAGGCAAAATAGGCTATCGCAAGTCATCTTTGTCAAAATCTATTTATATCAGTTGCTATACACATAAAATATATATACATATACTTTAGGTGTTTGAAGATGCCCCAAGAGTCCTTTGTGTTCATTGTAATTTAAATATCCCAGTCACAATGGTCAGGGACCACCAAGCAGAGCGTACTTGGTAAGTGCATTTGTGATTCAACCTATGATTTTCTATAATATGCTTTGTTTGTCATAACTCACAGTAAAAATGACAATTAAAGAGAATCAATTTTATTAATATTACTTATGATTAAATATTACTTCATGATAATTTTTTATTTTGTTTGTTTTAAGTTTTCTAGAAAAAGAATGTGCCTGTTTCTTTTCAGGCCCTTTAAAGGCCTATTATTTGTCATTGTATAAACATATAGTGCATATAAATCACCACAACTTAACAAAATGTGTATTTTAATAATTCCTATGTGTTTTGTTCACAGATAATCAAATATCAGCTAATAATTAATATTCAGATTTAATTGATTTAGTATGCCATCAACTTCAAATGACAGAAGCAATAGTGATAGCAGTTGCAATGAAGTAAGTTCACATTGTTACGGGGCGCTCAGAAGCATGGGGCAGAATTGCCCCTTAAGATTGAACACGGACGCCCCGAACGTTGTGTTATGTTTTCTATTGTTTTGTAAAAAAGCTTGCGCTTTTAGGAACTGGAATTTGACATTAAAATAGAATAAAATAACTTGTGTGTGAGCTTATACTATTTAACATGGTACCAGGAGTGGGGTAAACAGTTACTTATCGCTTAGAAGACTTATCGTGTGAAGCATTCCAGGAGCTTGTGTTAAAATTACGAGTGAAGTATTTCAGAAGATCGTGTCTGATTGAAAATATGACGGACCATGAGCAAGCGACAACCTCAACGGCATCTCAGCCTTCTCAGGAGGTTAAAGTGGTGCAAATTCCGGTGAATTTGCCAATGCCACCTCAGCTGGCCATGACCGGTAACCTGGCAACGAATTGGAAAAGGTTTTATCGTGCTTGGCGCAACTACGAACTTGCCGCACGTCTGCGGGACTCTAGTGACCCTAGTACAAACAAAGAGCTGCGAACAGCGACTTTGTTGACGTGCATTGGAGCTGATGCTCTGGATGTCTTGGACGGTTTGGATTTCGCGAATGAAGAAGAGAGAAAAGACATCGATGTTGTTGTAAGTAAGTTGGAAAAGTATTGTATTGGAGAAACAAATGAGACGTACGAACGGTACTGTTTTAATAAAAGAGATCAAGAGTCACACGAAACGGTCGATGCTTACTTCGCAGTCCTTCGCACATTAGCCAAGACATGTAACTTTGGTAATTTGGAAGACAGCTTGATAAGAGATCGTATTGTTATGGGTATTAAGGACAACGCCACACGAAAGAAATTATTGCAAGTCTCAAAGCTTACCCTGCAACAAAGCATAGATATAGTTCGGTCTTGGGAGAAGACGGCGAAGCAACTCGAGTCGATGAAAGCTGAAGATGAGAAAGTGTTGGCTGTTAGCAAAGAACAGCACAAAGAGCAGAGGAAGCCAGTTGAGAAAAGAGCTGACGAAGGGCTAATAAGGTGTAAATTTTGCAGTAAATCTCATCTCAGAGATAAATTCAAATGCCCAGCTTGGGGCAAAACATGCTCACAGTGTAAAAGAAAGAACCACTTCGCAGTCGTCTGCAATGCTCAGAGAAGACCATTGACCAAAAGAGAGCCAGTATCCGGCATCAATACGGATACAGACTCGTCAGAAGGAGAGTATATAGCTCTGGTGGAGACCAAAGAAAGTGGGTGCTGTTAACTCTGATCAATACACCCACAAACCAAGTGCCTCCTTGATGATTAACAGAACACTTGAAAGTTTCCAGCTTGACAGTGGAGCAACAGTAAACGTACTATCTAAAAGAACACTGGCAGGGTGTTTCCAAAAGCCTATCGAGAAGAAGTTGGTGAAGACAAACACAACTCTGGTAATGTATAATGGGTCAGAAGTGAAGCCTATTGGAAAGACAAGGCTCCAAGTTATCAATCCTAAGAATAACAAGAAGTACAGCATAGAGTTTATGGTTGTGGAAGAGAATTGCAAGTCCATACTTGGGGCTAAAGCCAGTCAGCTCATGAACTTACTTGTTGTTAACAAAGAGAACATTTTTACAACTACGCCGAGCGTCAAAGATGCACCCAAGTTTATCACCAAAAGTATCTCATTAAGGAGTATCCAGAACTGTTCCAAGGTCAAGGAACTTTACCAGGGGAACTGCATCTAGAGATTGATGAAACTATTTCCCCAGTCCAGCTCCCAACACGAAGGATTCCACTGGCTGTAAAAGACAAACTCAAAGCAGAGCTTGACCGACTAGTTGACACGAATGTCATAGCTCCAGTGGATACGCCGACGACCTGGATATCGGCTATTGTTGTTACAGTCAAGAAGAATGGGGACATCCGTTTGTGTATTGACCCCAAACCATTAAATAAAGCCCTCAAGCGTAACCATTACCCTTCACCCACCATTGATGAGATCCTACCGGATTTGGCCCACGCTCGCTGTTTCTCAGTCCTTGATGCCAAGAACGGGTTTTGGCATATCCAGCTGGATGAGGCCAGTTCATATGCAACAACCTTTGGCACTCCATGGGGTCGGTATCGGTGGTTGCGAATGCCCTTCGGCATATCACCCGCACCTGAAGAGTTTCAACGACGTGTGAACGATATCTTGTTGGGTCTACCTGGAGTCAAAGTCATCGCAGATGACCTTCTTGTTTATGGCAGTGGTGCAACAGATGAAGAGGCATATCTCGACCATGACAAGAACCTCAGGGGTTTGATGGAACGGTGTAGAGAGAAGGGTCTCAAGCTGAACCCTGACAAGATTCAACTTCGACTCGAAGAGGTTAGCTACATGGGCCATCGTCTGACATCGAATGGACTGAAGATCGACCCCGAGAAGACGAAGGCCATCAGAGACATGCCTGCCCCCACAGACAAGTTGGGAGTACAGAGATTGCTTGGCATGGTGAACTATGTGCAAAAGTTCGCCCCTAAGTTAGCTGAGATCACTACACCTCTACGTGATCTGATCAAGCACGGACATGAATTCCGGTGGGAGAAGCATGTGCATGGGAAAGCGTTGGAGGAAATCCGACAGATGCTCTCAGAACCACCAGTGCTACGGTTCTTCGACCCTGATGTAATGCCAGTCCTGCAGTGTGATGCATCCATGAATGGTCTTGGGGCCTGCCTGTTACAGAACAACCAACCAGTGGCATATGCGTCAAGGTCGTTAACACCAACCGAAGTACAGTACGCTCAGATAGAGAAGGAGATGCTGGCCATCGTGTATGGGATGGAGAGATTTGAAAGTTATCTGTATGGTCGACACGTAAAAGTAGAATCAGATCATAAACCACTTGAGTCAATCCTAAAAAAAAGCCTACTAAGTGCACCAAAGCGCCTACAACGTATGATGCTACGACTCCAGAAGTTTGAGCTCGAAGTCGTGTACAAGAAGGGACCACTTATGTTTATGGCAGATACGCTAAGTCGAGCAACTTCCCACCAGCCAAATGTCGAAGGACCAGGAGAGACCGAGGAAGTGATGATCATGCAGGACACAAGATCAATAACGGAAAGAGAAGTAGAGCAAATTGACATGCTGCAGAATCTAGCAGTAAGAGAAACTACTCTAGCCCAAATTAAAGAGCACACAGCGGCAGACAGCAACCTGCAGGCACTGGTGAGAATTGTGAAAGAAGGGTGGCCAAACACAGAGAATGAGGTGTCTCCAGCATTACGAGTGTATTACCCGTTTCGCGACGAGTTGACCGTACAAAATGGAGTTATCTTTAAAGGCGAGAGATTGATTGTGCCAGAAGGATTGAGAGCTGAAATGCAAGAGAAACTTCACTACAACCATGGTGGGGTACAGGCTACACTCAGAAGAGCCAGGGAAGTATTCTATTGGCCAGGAATGAACAAAAACATTGAGGATCTCATCGCAAAGTGCAATATTTGTGCGCAGTACCGAACAATAAACCAGAAAGAACCTCTTATGAGTTCTCCAGTCCCAACGCGTCCATGGGAGTCGATTGCAACAGACTTGTTTGAGTTTGGAAACAAAGATTATCTTGTTACAGTAGATTACTACTCTAACTTTATAGAGGTGGATAGACTGTACTCGAAGACCAGCACTGAAGTAATCCACAAATTAAAGGCACACATGGCACGGTACGGGATACCGGAGAGGGTAGTCAGTGACAACGGTCCTCAATACAGTTCCCGCGAGTTTCAGGATTTTGCCACACGATATGAATTCGAGCATGTGACCTCGTCGCCTCGATATCCTCAATCGAATGGGAAAGCGGAAAGTGCTGTGAAGATAGCAAAGCGAATTATGAAGAAAGCGTTGGATGCGAAAGCAGATCCGTACCTGGCAATACTAGAACACCGGAACACGCCGTCGGAAGGTATGACTACCTCGCCCGCCCAACGATTGTTTGGCAGGAGAACAAGATCCCAAATTCTAATCTCGCGCCAACTGCTTGAGCGCACCTGTACGCATTCAACAAAGCAAGAGCTGAAAAAGGCAAGAGCTAAACAAGCCTACTATTACAATAGAGGATCCAAGAAGCTTACACCACTCAAGGTCGGTGATGCGGATCGTATGATGCCCGAGAAAGGAAAGGATAGGTGGAGGAAAGGGACGGTGAAAGCGATTGTTAGTCCAAGGTCGTATATTGTGGCAACTGATGATGGAGGAAACTATAGAAGAAATCGCAGGCATCTCCGGAAAACTGCGGAGCTAGGCGATTCAGAAGCAGATGTAGACGGAGAGTTGCCAGTGCAAGAGCAGGATACACCAGGCCGGCAGCAGGAGCCCGAATCTGAAGAACCAATTCCTCAGCCACCTGTAGAGCACACCACTCCCAGGAGCACAGTGAGAACATCAAATAGACAAACACGTAGACCGGCATATCTTGAAGACTACGTGACTGAAAACTAATATAAGTATGATGAAAAACGTTTATGTTTAACTCAGAAGGAGGGAGATGTTACGGGGCGCTCAGAAGCATAGGGCAGAATTGCCCCTTAAGATTGAACACGGACGCCCCGAACGTTGTGTTATGTTTTCTATTGTTTTGTAAAAAAGCTTGCGCTTTTAGGAACTGGAATTTGACATTAAAATAGATTAAAATAACTTGTGTGTGAGCTTGTACTATTTAACACACATATGCATTCTACTTGGCATTAAACCATCAACCCTCATCAAGACTTTGCTATTTTCTTGCTTGACATCAGAATGTCAATGTATTTGCCCCAGCTAAAGCAAATATTTCCGAATCAAGAAAGCTCTGTGTTACAGTCAGCCTTGCAAAATTCTGATTTTAATTTGCATGGTGCTTCTGAGATAATTTTAGCAAGAGGTAAGTACACTGTATGTCTTATGATATTAAGTCAATATATATGTATATAAATATACATATAAATATATAAATAAATAAGTAATATATATATGGGCTGTTTATAGTTTTTATTTATTAGTGTTCTACAGTACAACTGTACAACTAATGAAATAACTCTACTCCACTTGACTAATCAGCATCCAGTAATTTTAGTATGCTAATAATAAATACTAAAACAATTACTCAATTCTCAACTAAATATGAATAATTGTAATTTCACTGTATAGATACTCTGCATGATGCGAATTCAGATTCAAGTGACACAGAGTTTTTACTCAACCGTCCCCTTGCTTCTCGTGCTCGGCATAGGGCATTAGTAGACATTCCACCTAACGTTTTTGAAGATGACCCTGCTGAAGATGCAATTCATGACGGTGGAGATGACACCACACCACACCACACCAAGCAGTGATACAGTTCAAACAAGACACAATTGACACCAATTAATCTCCTCGTCAGCTGTTCTCTGTGTGTAGAAGTGAGGGTACTGAACAGCTAAAAATGGGCATTTTAAGTGCGTACAAGGATCCCAGAACTAACTTGAGGGCGACGCCGCGAGTTCGTTTTGAGGGTGAAGAAGGGTTGGGGTCAGGCCCTATCAGAGAGTTCTTTTATTTTGCAGTTAAGTTGGTGTCCGAGGGCATTGATTTTCTTTCCAAACCTATATAATCTATTTCGAAGGAGAACGTGAGCACCGAGCTCCTGTTCATAACCAAGCCTTGACGCAAACGGGCTGCTTTAAAGCTATCGGTAGAATCCTGGGTCATTCTTTCTTGCACAGTGGACCGTGTCTTAGCGGGCTGTCTCCAGCAGTAAAGCACTATCTGAGCAAAGCGAGCCTGGTGGATCCCCTACCATTGGATATCAAGGATGTGCCAGATGTGGAGCTTCGAGTACTGGTGGAATCGGTAAGTCTCTCTTGCTGTCTTGAGAATTTAACCACATTATAAAAATGTGTTTTGTAAAAATTTTGTTTATAGTTGTTAAACGTGACTAGCGACGAACCATTGCCATCAGAGTTGCTGGAAAATTTGTCCCCGTACCTAATCGAGGCCGGTATTGATTTAGAACTGTTACACTCATGCAGACACATGGTGGCGCAAAATCTCTTCACATACTTTGTAATTGAGAAGAGAAAATTAGAACTTGACGACATCTGTATCGGTTAGTTTTTTAGAATTATATTAAATGTTGGCGTAAAATCGCATTCTCTTCATTAGGGACTTTAAGCATGTGTGTAGAACGCGAACGCGACGACGACGGCTATCAATACAATGGGTCATTGAAAAGAAATGAATAATTAAAGACCCATGATGGGTTTTAGAAGTCGTTTTCATTATGTTTACAACGGGAAAACGTCGTTTTTATGTCTTGCCTAGAACGGTTGATTTTCAGGACCCAGCGAGCCCTACCTCGAATTAGGCTCTATAGAATTGTCCTTAAACATAAAAACAATGTTTTAACGTCTTATATCTCACTAAATCTGTACAATTAATAATATGCAACAACCACTTTGCCATAGCATTTATTTAAAGGAGAATTTCAGCCACGTCGTCGTCGTGTACATGCTTAAGGTCCCTATTATATCTGCCAATGGGACGTGATTATGATCATGTTTTATGGAGTATGTTTACGTGTTGGTTGGCAAATGTTAAGACAAAATTACAACAATGTAAAGGCGCTGTTACACTATGCAACTTTCCTTGCAATTTGCAATGCAATTATAATTTTAAGGGTCTATAATTAGTAATAAGTGTTGTAAATGCTAAGAAACCTTAGCAGATCGTACGAAATGTTCGTACTCCATTCGACAACTTTAGATGCCTCAGGAGTGGAATTGCATTGTAAGTTGCAAGGAAAGTTGCATAGTGTAACACCGCCTTAAATTTCAGTAGATGCTGATTTGCTATATATAGAAGATATGAATAAGCTTACGACAAGGAACGTTTCTAACACTGGAAAAACACACTTGTATTTGACAGGTTTAGAGGCAGTGGGTTTGAAGTCATTTCTGGAACGTCACCCTCAAATCATTTTTAAACTTTTCCCAACGGATGACGAAATCAAGTTTTCTGGAAATGAATTGAAAGAGAAAATTATTTTCAATGATAATGACCAATTACAAGATGTTACTGAAGCAATTACTAGAACAAAAAACTTCTTCTTAGATTATATAGACTTGATTGAAAGTAGGAATGAAGGTAAGTGAACTGAAATTACTCGAGGCACTACTATGTACGTCGTTATACGACTACAGCGATATATTCTAAATAGTATGAACTAATACAGTGATGGTCAAATAATTTTTTTTTTCGTCCTTTGTAGATAGTGCAAGCCTGTCAGATTTATGTTGTTTTTGGACTGCCACAAATATGTTACCAAATCGGTCAGAGATGCTGAGTGTTTCATTTGACAAAGAAGGTACCAATGTGTTGCCCATGGCAGAATGCTGCTTTCTAAGTTTAGTTTTACCAGTAAGGCATGCCACGTTTGAAGAGTTTACGAAGAACATGGATTTGGCTTTGAAGTATGGCGTGTGTGGCTTTACGTTTAATTAAAAGCAAAAGCCATTAAGCATAGACCATTGAACTCTGCATGTGAACTTGTGAAGACCAGTGAACTCTGTGAACTTGAATGATAACTCGAATGCCGCAAAGTATTATTACCAGTTCATTTCATTACTGCTGTTTGCAAGCTACCATGAGACGTGCTAAATTTTTCATGTTCGTTTTTCATGTTTCATAAACTAACATGAAAAATTTAGCACGTCTCATGGTAGCTTGCAAGCAGCAGTATATGAAGTTGCGCGACGTACGAAGAGTACTGTATAGTACATTGACATTGTCAAATAACATATAGGGATGTATGTACGTATGGTATTTCGAGTTTACTTGCAATCTGGTATGCACAATTTGATATGGAACATTTTAGGTTCAGTTTAATCGAGTGTTTGCGTTCGAAACGATTTTTTTCGTTTGCCAAAAATTTGTTTTGTTCACATAGGGTTATCATTTAGCGATAAGGCTTGTTCTTTTATTTTTATTATACTGTAAGTAAAAACTCTATACATAGCTAAATATTGGTAATATTGTACAGCAGGAACCGGTTGTTCGAAAGGCGTTTAACTTAAACGGTGAATAAGGCAAAGTTTAAAAATACTCTCATATATCTTGTGAATGACTGAACCTGCATTTTATGCACTTAATATGTACTTCCAATGACAATTAAACTATTCAGTTACATCGAAATATTTCAGCGCAGTTGTTCAATAAAATGATCATTTTGTTTTTTTTTTAGCTAAACGCTTTTCGAACGACCGGTCCCAGACATGCAACTAGAAGTTAATAAAGGGATTAAGTTTTGTTTTGGGTGAAAACCACATGTATTTATTATGCGGATATTCCTATCTAATATTTTCTTGATTCTCCTTGGTTTCATCAATGACTTTTTAATCTTGTCTTGTTTATTTTTTTAGCTCCAAGTGTTGATATACTTAATAAACGTAGGAAAACTTCTTATACTAACTGTTAACTTTCAGAAAAATATACGAAGGCATAAATGGTACAATCTGCCGTGGAATAGAGGTGAAATAAGGCTAATTTTGCCCATATTATTATTAACGTGCAAATCTTGTTTTGATCACTTCACAAACCAAAATCTGCTGTAGCTTATAATTTGCCAACTGCAATAACTTAAAAGTAGGGATAAAATTATGTAAATTGGTGTGCATGTTTTGTTAATACCATTTCTGCTTACCAAATGTTTGTACTACTTCTTTACATTCTTTCAGTAATAAATTGAAGAACTTCCATATAGATGTCAACACCATGATAGGCAGATGGGCGAATTGGATCAATGCTGTGCTGAAGCTCAAGCCATGTATCTTCATCAATTGGTACTCTTGTTTCTGGAACTTCTACCTGTGTACATTCTTCGGCTGTTACAACTGGACCTTCCCAATCAATTCCATAGTTGTGTGGGATTATCTATAATATTTATTAGTAATATATATATATATATAATTATATATATATATATATATATATATATACATATATATAACGAAATTTTGTAAAATACGGAAAATATAGCCATGCGAAGTTGGTATATTTTGTATACTTTTGCATTACGTGCGAAAATGTGCAACTAAATCGGTTACAGGTGAGGGTAAATCAATTGATTTTGGCAATCCACTCGATGTAGGTAAATTCTAGAGGTTTAAAGGGTCTTAATGTCAAGTGGAATTATACACACTTCAAATTCAAGCAAGGAACAGTTGATGGAAAATGAGTCAACTATCGGGCCTCCGGCAGGAATCGAACCTACGATTTTGCGATGGTCTTGCCAAAACTTCCTGCCGTAATACAAAAGTATACAAAATTCGTCAACTCGTACGGCTATATTTTCCGTAATTTACAACAACTACCAGCCAAACTTGGCAGTTTTACTAATTTTAGTAAGCTTTTTCAGAAAATGTCCTTTTATTGTCGATGTAAAGCGCAAGTCGTCCATTGATTTACCTCGTTGTTGAACTCGTCAG